GGGAGCCCTCAGGGATGGGAGGCGACCCGCCGATCAAAGGAAGGCGATGCCCCCATCACACCTTTGCTGCTCCTCAGCCGGCCCTGGTTACCTGAGCCTCGGGCGGCCGTAGGTGGCTGAGGGGCTGAGGGGATTGGGGGCTCCGGAGGCAGGCACACGGCAAGGCTGGGCCCACCTCAGGCCTGGCCTTTCCACGCGCCTGCCACCCTGGTGGGGCTGAGGGGAGTGGGTGCCGCCATCTTGTGGCTGTGGGCACTGCCATCTTTAAAGGCATTGCAGTGAATTAGTGGCAGTCAATTAGCGTATTCCCTCTTTATTGGTTGTGGGCACTGCCATCTTTAAAGGCATGGCAGTCAGTTAGCGTATTCCCTCCTTATTGGATGTGGGCACTGCCATCTTTGAGGGCGGGGCAGTCAGCTAACATATTCCCTCCTTATTGGCTGTGGGCGCCGCCATCTTTGAGGGCAGGGCAGTCAGTCAGCCAGCATATTCCCTCCTTATTGGTTGTGGGCGCCGCCCTCTTTGAGGGCAGGGCAGTCAGTCAGCCAGCATATTCCCTCCTTATTGGTTGTGGGCGCCGCCCTCTTTGAGGGCAGGGCAGTCAGTCAGCCAGCATATTCCCTCCTTATTGGTTGTGGGCGCCGCCCTCTTTGAGGGCAGGGCAGTCAGTCAGCCAGCATATTCCCTCCTTATTGGTTGTGGGCGCCGCCCTCTTTGAGGGCAGGGCAGTCAGTCAGCCAGCATATTCCCTCCTTATTGGTTGTGGGCGCCGCCCTCTTTGAGGGCAGGGCAGTCAGTCAGCCAGCATATTCCCTCCTTATTGGTTGTGGGCGCCGCCCTCTTTGAGGGCAGGGCAGTCAGTCAGCCAGCATATTCCCTCCTTATTGGTTGTGGGCGCCGCCCTCTTTGAGGGCAGGGCAGTCAGTCAGCCAGCATATTCCCTCCTTATTGGTTGTGGGCGCCGCCCTCTTTGAGGGCAGGGCAGTCAGTCAGCCAGCATATTCCCTCCTTATTGGTTGTGGGCGCCGCCCTCTTTGAGGGCAGGGCAGTCAGTCAGCCAGCATATTCCCTCCTTATTGGTTGTGGGCGCCGCCCTCTTTGAGGGCAGGGCAGTCAGTCAGCCAGCATATTCCCTCCTTATTGGTTGTGGGCGCCGCCCTCTTTGAGGGCAGGGCAGTCAGTCAGCCAGCATATTCCCTCCTTATTGGTTGTGGGCGCCGCCCTCTTTGAGGGCAGGGCAGTCAGTCAGCCAGCATATTCCCTCCTTATTGGTTGTGGGCGCCGCCCTCTTTGAGGGCAGGGCAGTCAGTCAGCCAGCATATTCCCTCCTTATTGGTTGTGGGCGCCGCCCTCTTTGAGGGCAGGGCAGTCAGTCAGCCAGCATATTCCCTCCTTATTGGTTGTGGGCGCCGCCCTCTTTGAGGGCAGGGCAGTCAGTCAGCCAGCATATTCCCTCCTTATTGGTTGTGGGCGCCGCCCTCTTTGAGGGCAGGGCAGTCAGTCAGCCAGCATATTCCCTCCTTATTGGTTGTGGGCGCCGCCCTCTTTGAGGGCAGGGCAGTCAGTCAGCCAGCATATTCCCTCCTTATTGGTTGTGGGCGCCGCCCTCTTTGAGGGCAGGGCAGTCAGTCAGCCAGCATATTCCCTCCTTATTGGTTGTGGGCGCCGCCCTCTTTGAGGGCAGGGCAGTCAGTCAGCCAGCATATTCCCTCCTTATTGGTTGTGGGCGCCGCCCTCTTTGAGGGCAGGGCAGTCAGTCAGCCAGCATATTCCCTCCTTATTGGTTGTGGGCGCCGCCCTCTTTGAGGGCAGGGCAGTCAGTCAGCCAGCATATTCCCTCCTTATTGGTTGTGGGCGCCGCCCTCTTTGAGGGCAGGGCAGTCAGTCAGCCAGCATATTCCCTCCTTATTGGTTGTGGGCGCCGCCCTCTTTGAGGGCAGGGCAGTCAGTCAGCCAGCATATTCCCTCCTTATTGGTTGTGGGCGCCGCCCTCTTTGAGGGCAGGGCAGTCAGTTAGCATATTCCCTCATTATTAGATAGGATAATCACTCTGGTGGCAACATTGAAAGGTAGATATAACCCGTATAGGACATAAAAGCTACATTTTAAACCAGTCTGGTTCAGGGGATAGGACGTTGGCCCGTGGACGTGAGGGTCCTGGGTTCAGTTCCTGTCAAGGGCATGTACCTCAGGGACAGGCTCAGTTCCTCGCCCTGGTGAGGGTACGTGCAGGAGGCAGCCAACCGATGTGTCTCAGTCACATCAATGTTTTTCTCTCTTCTGTGTCGCTCTCTCTGTGTCTCTCCCCCTCCTTTCCACTCTCTAAAAAAATCAATGGAGGAATGTGCTCTGGTGAGGATTAACAAGAAAAATCATTTAAGTATAAAAAGTTGTTCTAAGTATTTTCCGAATCTAGGTATAATATTAATCTTGCACAAAATGTAAATCCAATGAAGAGTAACAAATTACTTGTTTATGAATATTTTCTTTTATTAGCACAACATATAAAAATTTACCTTAAATTGATTTTATATTTATCATTGACTTTCATTACTAAGAAAAAAGGAATTAAGCCCTGACTGGTTTTGCTCAGTGGGTAGAACATTGGCCCGCACACTGAAGAGTGGTGGGTTTGATTCCCAGTCAAGGGCATGTACCTGGGTGGCAGGTTCAATTCCCAGCCCCGAAACATCTCTCTCTCTCTCTCTTTCTCTCTCTCTCTCTCATCTCTCATCTCTTATCTCTCATTTCTCTCCTCTCTCTCTCTCTCTCTCACATCACTCTCTTTTACTCTGTCTAAAATTCAATGGGAAAAATATCCTCGGGTGAAGATAGTGAAAAAAGGAAATGAAGGGAGGGAGGGAGGGAGGAAGGGAGGGAGGTAGGAAGGGGAGGGAAGGAGAAGGAAAGGAAAGAAGAAAGAGAAAAAAAGTCATTAAATGAAAACCCAGCTGCTAGTATTAAAACTACTGAAAGTCAAGTATACTAATTCAGAATTAGGAATACATTTTGTGAAAGCAAGAGAAACTCTTTTCCTTTTTCTATAGTGCATAGTATAGAGCTGTGTATAAGTAATTTAATGATTTAGTTGATTTCTTAAATGCAGTTTCAGTTTGTTGCTAGGAAAATGAGATTAATATTTCAGGTATTATAATTTTGAGTTTTGTCATTATGAGGCATGTAGGTAAAATCCCTTGAAGATTCCAAAATATTTTATTGTATTAAAAACTTTTACTACATAAATTGCAATGTTGTATTAAAAACTTTTACTACATAAATTGCAAGAAATCATCTTTTTTGTTTTCATTACTCTCTCTGACTTTGGTTCTTTAGACGAGTGGTCGCCAACTGGTGGCGATTTGGTTGATTCAGAGGTCTGAAAGGTTGGCTGCTTTAGACCACATCTTCCCTGGATATTCTAGACCAGTGATGGCGAACCTCTGACACGCGTGTCAGAGGTGACACGCGAACTCATTTTTTTTGGTTGATTTTTCTTTGTTAAATGGCATTTAAATATATAAAAGAAATATCAAAAATATAAGTCTTTGTTTTACTATGGTTGCAAATATCAAAAAATTTCTATGTGTGACACGGCACCAGAGTTAAGTTAGGGTTTTTCAAAATGCTGACACGCTGAGCTCAAAAGGTTCGCCATCACTGTTCTAGACTATCTAGCCACTCACTATTTCTTTTTCCTTAGCAGTCAAACTTACTCTTTCTCACTGGCTACCTGACTCTTCTCCAAGCAAGTTAGCATATCATTATCAAATTAATCTTTCTAACCACTCCATTTTGTTAACATCAGTCTCAAGAACCTTTTTCTGTCTCCCCAGTTTCTGTAATACTCTGAAATCTACTTTTAGTTTGTTATTCAAAGCCACCACACTCTAGTGCTCTCAGAATTCATCTCCCTTTATGAGTCCCTAATGTGGAAAGTCTTCTTGCTTGGTCTTTTCTTGAGCCCTCTCTCTTACATCACCTTTGTTCTCATCTCAGGAATGCCCATGCCCCTCCTAATTTTTCTAAATGTACTCATTCTTTGGATATAGTTTAAATCTCCTCTTCAAAACCTCTTCCTATCCTATTTTAGCTCACATTGAGATGTAATCCCCTAAAAGTTGTAGAAGTTCTGCAATCCATTATCGTCATCATTCACTTTGACAAATATATATCTTTTTACTACTCTACTGTCTAAAATGCATATAACTTATCTTTCTAAATTAGACTTAGCTACTTAAGAACAGTGCTTATCTTTTATTAATTCCATTATTTTTGTAGTACCTACCATGTGCAACTGTAATGGTTGGGATATTACCTTATATAGCAGTGATGGCGAACCTTTTGAGCTCGGCGTGTCAGCATTTTAAAAAACCCTAACTTAACTCTGGTGCCATGTCACATACAGAAATTTTTTGATATTTGCAACCATAGTAAAACAAAGACTTATATTTTTGATGTTTATTTTATATATTTAAATGCCATTTAACAAAGAAAAATCAACCAAAAAAATGAGTTCGCGTGTCACCTCTGACACGCGTGTCATAGGTTCGCCATCACTGTTACATAGGGTGCAGCAGCTACTTTTTAAAGGAGTGATTTAATCAGGGAAGTAAAATTCACACATAAAGTCAGGTAACTATGAGTTGCCCCGTATAAATAATTTAAATACTGTAGAAGTCTTGGCAAGATATCAAACAATGATGCACATGGCATTTGAGCTATGCACTAAAAGATAAGGATAGTTTTAAAAGTTGCAGATGAAAAGAAATAAATGCAATTAGGAAGTATATGAAATATAAACAGCTGTTTATCCAGACTGGCTAACTTACAGGTGCTGTCTCAGAAAGCAGTAGTGTAATTGAAGAAAGTGGAAAGCCTTTTTGAATGTTGGTCTGAACATTTTGAACTTAGTGGACAGTGTTATAGTGAATAATATAATCATGGCTCATGTTTTAGGAAAGTGTTTTATTTCTTTCACACTACCTAATACTACCTAATACAGAGCTATGCTTTCAGTTTTTATCTGAAAGAACAAAATTTATATTTCTACTCTTTTAACACTTAGAATTGAACAGAATGTTCATTTTTATTTCATTAGCTAGAAAAAAAAATGATGAGTATTTTTTTCTTTCAGACATATTCTCATTTCTTCATATTGATTTTTGGGTTTGGTTTTTTATTTAAATTATTTAGAGTAATTTAGATCTTAAGTCAGGTTATTCTCTGTTTTTTTGTTTTTTGTTTTTTTGTAGAGTAAGATGAGAATGAACAGTGTAAATTTAATTTATTAGAACCAAAGCCTGTTTTTCATTTATAGTGAAAAAAATACCCAATTAAGTCTTCATTTTGTAGCTTGAATGCCAAAGAAATCTTACATAAGACAAACTGCAGCCCTACTCAGTTTGTCTCTGGTTAGAGTGTCAGCCCTAGGATTTGAAAGGTCTCAGGTTTGATGGCACGTACCTTGGTTGCAGGCTCCGTCTGGGGCACACATAGGAGGCAACCAAATCGATGTGTCTCTCACATTGTTGTTTCTGTCTCTCTCCCTCCCTCCCACTCTCTCTAAAAACTCAATGGAAAAAATATCCTCAGGTGAGGATTAACAATAACAACAAAAAAGACAGACTAGATTTACTGAATTCTTTTAGTGTGTGTTTTAAATCTGACATTAATATCTATTCTCTAGGGTCATGTGAAGGTGGTGCGCTACTTAGTCAAAGAAGTCAATCAGTTTCCATCAGATTCTGAATGCATGAGATACATAGCAACCATCACTGATAAGGTAATGTGTTGATCAAATTCATCCCACTATATGAGCTAGGGATTTTATTTAGTTTTATATACATATATCCCACACTAAGAAAAAAGTCTTAGTTTGAGCAGTAATGTGTGCTGTATAGCAATTTTCATTTATCTATTATTTGGGAATGAAGTATGCTGTTTAAGAGACTCTTAGGATTATTTATTTAATCTAATGAAGTAGTAAAATATTATTTGTGATCGATTTACTTTTTTAAAAAAAATACTAAACTAATTTTATGTGAACACTAAACAGTTAAAGCAAATGTTATTATTCATTAGTATTATAATCTATATATGTGTATCCAGACTGATAATATATTCAGAAATTAACAAGCCCAGTGGATTTTTTAAATACATAAACACAAATAAACATAGTACCTTTAATTGTGGGAAGAAAATTTTAATGTCTTAAACATGATATAAAAGTGGGAGTAACTGTCATCTTAAGAATGAACTGGTTAGGATTATTAGAGATTTAATTGAGGTCTTCCCCTTGTGCCATTTTTATTTTTAGTTTATAAGACGTACTCTGGAAATCCAAAGAGGTCAATACATATAAAAATGTCTATTATATTTTCTCAGCAGTTTTTACCTAAGAGTGAGCAGATTTTCATCATAGGTTTTATTTAACTTTCACTGTCTTGCCTGCCTCTAGATTTCTCTGATAATTAACACTCCTGGGTACCACTAGGTTTTTTGGAGGAGAGAGGAAGATTAAAATTAAGGCTTTTTGTTTTTATAGGGAAATAGTCCTTTCCTGATAAAAAGTGTTCTGAGAATGAAACCACTGAGAAAAATTTGTAATATATATGCCTTCGACATTTCATCAGTGATTCTTGAACATAAGGTTTTGGCAACAAAGCTTAAATATGTGACAGTTGTTATCAGTTAAGCACTTCACAGAATTTTAAATCTGTTTTCTTGATTAACATTGACCATTTCCTTAAGTCTATTAACCAGCTGATATAAATTATTACACTTCCATTTGCTGTATGATTTATATTCGATTTATAGGAGTAAATAATTTTACTTTCCAAAGTACCAGTCAAATTTATATTATTTTGAAAAACATTAGAGGCTCTTTCTTGTGTATTTTTATTTGCATTATGTTTTGCCTTACCACTGATCTTAATAGCTTATGTTCATTCAATGAAGTACCTTAATTAATATTTTAATGTTTTCATTAAACATTAATTATTTTTTGAGACTGGAAACATCTTGATTTTTTATTTTAGGAGATGCTGAAGAAGTGTCATCTTTGTATGGAATCAATAGTACAAGCCAAAGATAGACAGGCTGCTGAAGCAAACAAAAATGCCAGTATTTTATTAGAAGAGTTAGACTTGGAAAAGGTAATGATAACCTTTACATGTGAAAATACCTACTTTTTTCCCTTTCTGCTATATTCCCTTTAGTTTGTAATCCTTTTTAAATGTTTCATTTGGTTGCTTTTGCTTTAAATTATGTACATGGTTTTCCCTCCAAGTTTGGCTCAGAGAGAATTAAGAGTATTTTAAATGTCATTAAATGAATTTTCTTTGTAATCAAATTATAGGAATTGCATTGACCTGGAAGTCAGAAAACCTAGCTGCTAATGCAGCTTTAGTCTTATCTCAACTAATGAGCTCTTAATCCCCATCCAAACCTATACTTCAAAGATCTTAGACCTTGTAATTTGTTGACCATATATTTACTAGAAGTACCAAATGCAGTACTGAGGCATAACCAACTAGTGAAATACATCTTGGTGGAATGTTTAATGAGTATATTTTTTAAATGGGTGAATTCTCATGTACTTTTCTCTTTCAGGCAGACTACATCATTTCCGTCTTCCCAAGGGGAATATAATACTCCAAACAACATATAGTTTGGGCAGTTCCATAGCTCCTTCTTTACTCCCCCTTCCTATCATTAACACTGTCCTCAAGAATGTAATAGAAATAGTAATCATGCAGGAAATTTATAAAGGATAGTGATAATCACAACCTTTTGGATTTGAGTCAGGCCCATTTTTACTATTATATTTGCAGACTTTGTTACACTATATATTTCATTATTTCATTTTGCATAAAGAAAATATGGCCCTGGCTGGTTTGGCTCAGTGGGTAGAGCATTGGCCCACAGAGTGAAAGGTCCTGGGTTTGATTCTGATCAAGGGCATGTACCTTGGTTGCAGGCTTGATCCCTGGCCCTAGTTGGGTCTCATGCAGGAGGCAAGGAATCAATGTGTCTCTCTCATCATTGGTTTCTTTTCTTTCTTTTTTTTTTGTTTTGTTTTGTTTTGTTAATCCTCACCCCAGGATATTTTTCCATTGATTTTTAGGGAGAGTAGAAGAGAGAGGGAAAAACAGAGACTTTTTAATCACAAAAGGATGCCCTGGCATGTTGTAGGTACTCAATAAATATTTGATGAACAATTAAATCTTTACATATTAAATGTAAATTAAATATTTTTTTCAATCCTCATCCCATATGAGAGAAACACATCCATTGGTTGTCTCCTGCAGGCTATCTGACCAGGGCCCAGGCATGAGAGGAGCCTGCAACCAAGGTATGTGCCCTTGACCCGAACTGAACCTGAGACCTTTTGGTCCACCGGCCCACGTTCTATCCACTGAGCCAAGTCGGCTAGGGCTATCATTGATGTTTGTATCTCTCTCTCTGTCCCTCTCCCTTTCTCTCGGAAATTAATAAAAATAAAGAAAATATGAAGTATTCTAAACACTTTATTCTAATTTAAGTGTGAAAATATCCAGTTATTTTCTGGAAAAATTTATTTAATATTGGGTATTCTTCATTTTAAAACTTTCTGATTTAGATTCTGATCAAACAAAAGTTAGCTTTTTGGCTAATTTGAAGTTTTTTTTAAAAAGCCCATTGAGAGTAATTATTATGAAAAATACTGTAACTGTTACTTGACCTATTTTCGCATTCATTTATTAAAAATCTTTATTGTTGAAAGTATTACATTATGTCCCCTTTTTCTCCCATTGGCTCCCCACCTGGCCCCCACCCCAGGCCTCCACAACCCTATTGTCTGGGTTATGCATATATGCATAAAAGTTCTTTGGTAGATCTCTCCCCATCCCCCTTCACCCCCCTACCCCCACCTTTCCTCTGAGATTTGACAGCCATTTCTTTCATTTTTGTGAATCTAAAAAACATTTTTTCTATAGCTGAACATAGACATCTATTTTTAAATAAAATCTTTATTTTTCTCATACCTTTGATCATACATTAAATACATTTAGAATTTATTGCATACATATGGATTACAAAGTAGGAAGAAGCTTTATTGTCTATTCTCAATCAACTTCATTGTTTTTTCTTTATTACAATATTGTGTTCAGTTTAAACTGTGAAATATGCAAAGATGACTAAAGAAAAACATAGGCATCATAAGTTAATCCTTACACCTCTCTGGTCTTCTTTTTTTATTCCTTTCTTTTGGTCACTTTGCTCCATCCATTGTCCATCCTTTTTTTGCCCTTGCTGTGCCTTCTGCCTTGAATGTCTCATGCAGATGCCTTATATTTTATTCTCCCTTCCACAAATACTCTTCTTACTCTTGTAACTTATTTTTGCTTTCAAACATTCTAAATGTTTTATTTAGTTATTTTGTTTATCTCTCCCACTAGAATGTATGCACCACAAAAGGATGCCTTGCATGTTGTAGGTACTCAATAAATACTTTTTAAGAAAATCATGCAAGCCCTAGCTCAGAGGTGGGCAAACTTTTTGACTCGAGGGCCACAATGGGTTCTTAAACTGGACTGGAGGGCCGGAACAAAAGCATGGATGGAGTGTTTGTGTGAACTAATATAAATTCAAAGTAAACATCATTACATAAAAGGATACGGTCTTTTTTATTTTTTAGTTTTATTCATTTCAAACGGGCCGGATCCGGCCCACGGGCCGTAGTTTGCCCAAGGCTGCCTAGCTGGTTTGGCTCTATGGATAGAGCATTGACCGTTGGACTAAAGGGTTCAGGGTTTGATTCCAGTCAAGGGCACATGCTGGGTTGTCAGGCTCCATCCCCAGTAGGGGGCGTGAAGGAGGCAGCCAATCAATGATTATCTCTCATCATTGATGTTTCTAGCTCTCCCCTCTCCCTTCCTCTCTGAAATCAATCAAAAAAATAAAAAAATCATGCAAGCCCTGGCCAGTGTAGCACAGTTGGTTGGGCAATGTCCCATGCATCCAACAGTTGCCGGTTCACTTCCCAGTCAGGGCACATGCCCAGGTTGCATCTGATCCTTAGTGAGGGTGTGCAGGAGGCAGCCGATAATTGTTTTGCTTTCACATCGAAACACTCTTTCTCTCTCTCTCTAAAACTCAATAAAAAAAATCCTAAAAAGGAATTGTGCAAGCATATTATTGTAATACTTGCTTTTTCCCCTCTCAGTAACTGATGGATATTTGTCAAATGATAGTGATTTAAATAACTGCAGAATATATCCCATAGTAAGTTTGTTTCCAGCTTTTTATCACTACAAAAAATGTTGCAATAAACATCCTTATGCATACTTTCTTATATTTTGGTGCTTTTATATTTACAGAGTAAGTTTCTTCTCTTGGGCCAATATGTTTTAAATTTGATACTTTCAGAATATTTTCTTACTCTACCATCAACAATACATCAGTGTCAATGTCTTGAATTCTTTTTTTTTGATCCTCACCCGAGGATATTTTTCCATTGATTTTTTTTTTTTAAGAGAGAGAATGGAAGAGAGGGAAAGACAGAGAGAAATATCTATGTGAGAGAAACACATCAATTGGTTGCCTCCTGCATGAGCTCTGACCAGGGCCTGGGCCGGGGAGGAGCCTGCAACCAGGTATGTGCCCTTGGCCTAAACCCGGGACCTTTTGGTTCCCAGGCTGATGCTTTATCCACTGCACCAAATCGGCTGGGGCTTGAATTCTTGCCAACATTTACTTGATGTTCATGCTTTCAAGAACCTCAGATTTAAAGCAAGTCAAAAGGAATTTTCAAATTACACATGTTTCTATCATATTAAACCTTAAAGGTGATAAATAATTTTTAATTATAAATTAATTAAACGTTAAGTTGATTCATATGCACTGATACTTTATAAACAATTTTGAATGGGGGTGGTACATAAAATTCTAAATTATGGAGAAGGTTCTATAATTTCAGTATTTCTATTTGAAGAATGACCAGATTGGGATCTGATAGGGTTTGGTTCATTATTTTTTAGTTATGACTTACTTCTAGGAAAATAATACTTGGCTTTTGAAAGACAGTACATTTTGGCTCCACCATTTCTGATTTAGAGACATCACTGGAGTTGGTCTTATTTGGTCTAAGCTGAATTTCTACATGGGTAACTTATTGCTTATATAAAAGTGTTTTTTTGACCAGCCTAATTTGAAAATTTTGGTTAATAGATTTGTAAGAACTGCTGCTGAGGATGCTCCCCATTATATTTACCAGATTCATTTCCTCATCATTATTCAGCAAACATTTATTTACTGAGCATTTACTATGTGGCAGAGTCTCCACTTTGGAACAGTTCATCCTGTTGAACTATGGAATTTTCAGTTTATTGCTTGTTCTCTTAGGACATTAACAACTAGGTTTTGTTCTTGGCTGTTAGAACCCTTAGTCGATATTGTTGGTTTGCATTTTTGATATTTGTTTCACGCTTCCACTTTACTACTTACTGTTGCTCTTCCTACCTTTTCTTTATAAACATTCATAGCCTTTTAGGGAGAAATGTGGGGTATATTTTTAAAATATTTGTACTATATATTTTCAGGGTTTTTTTTTTTGCCATTACCTAAAGCTATTAATATGCCCATCCCACAATCTCAATTTTATACATTTCATTCTCTGATTGAGCTTCCTATCTTTTCAGTTTTACTCCCTCTAGAATTCTACCTCCCATAATCCTGGCAATACTCTGCTTACCAATAAAATATAGGATCCATTTATCCTACCACCCTTCATAGTTCCTTATTCTTTTCTTTCTCCTTATTCTCATCTGTACCCTAGTAACTAAATGTGTGTAGAAAAACAACATTCAACCTTGATGACTAATTTTACTTTAAATGTGTGACAGCGAACCCTTCAATGCTGCCCAAGAGTCATTCTGTATTCCCCTAGTTTGGTTCATTCTCCCAGCCACTATTTATTAATTTCTTCTTTAGCCTCTGGCTTTGAGTACATCCTCTTCTTCATTTTCACTTGATGACCTAGCATCCTACATCAGTGATAAAACTGAAGTATCAGAAAACTGCTAAGACTTATCCCACCCCATCTACCCACCCTGTACCCATATACTTTCTACCAGTTACTAAATAAACTTTGTAACCAGTCCCTGCATTTGGT